CTAGTAGGTAACTCAAGAAGCACAGTAGGGTAGATGTTTTTACATAATTTTTCAAAATTGATTTAGAAAGTGGTCCAAACTGCTTATAAACTAAACATAAAAAAGTGAAATGATTCCCTGTTCAGTGCCACACAGCATGTCTGAATTTCTGCATTTTGTTCTTTGGTACTAGTCAGAATACAAGGGATTATATTTTCAAATGTGAGCGTGCAAGATGTGCATATATTTGGAATGAATATTGTTTTGGAGAATTGTTAGGCTCACATTAAAGGGTGTCATATGTCTCAGTACTATGCAGCTTTGGCTTCCGCCTCTGCGGATGTGCAAGCAACGGATCCTGGGCTGACAGCGGACATACCCATAAGCAGAAGCACAGAAATTCCCATTTAAATCTCTACAACTTCAAATTTAGCAGTAGATAATATGCTAAATGTTCCGTAGAACTGAAAAAGACTATTATAAGATGTTAGTGGTGCCCTTGCTAATACTAATATTTATACTTTACTTAATTACCGTCACGTACAAGCATAGTTCTGAGTACCCAGAGGGGGCACCCAAAAAATTGCTTTGGATTGCTGTAACTGTTCTTAAAAGACAAATTTTTAAAGTGTCCACATAGCTGTGGAAGGGTATGCCCTATTTTAAAATAACTTAGTGGAGAATACAGCATGATTTCTACTGCACAAAAACATTTTACTGTTTTAATTTTTTTGTAAATCTGGATGCTCTGCTGTGGAATGGCACACACAGGACTCCTGGTGACACCTGTGGGAGCTGGTCTGTAGGCACAGAGTGTCAGAGTCCAGGGATTGCCAATTTTTGCCTTCCCTGTATGTTCCAGATGATTTTCTATGATGTCCATTTATAAGACTGAATTATCTAAGGGAAGCCAAGCAACAAGCCCAATCTGATGACCAGAAACGTACACGCTGGGCCTGTTACGCCTAAACTAATGATCAGCAAATGATTGAATAAGAACAGATTAATTTAGTCTAAAAGGTTATCGTTATAGTCAAGATAAAAATTGAAAAGAAAAGAGGAGATGTACCAAGCACAAGTCCTTGAGCGCAATGCGGACGCGTTCCAGGATCAAGCTCCTGAGCACGCCCTGTACTAAACCACCGGCACGCAGTGCTCTCTGCAGATGGATTAACTGTGGGGCGCGCACACACAGCTGTGCCTATCTAGGAAACTGCTTTTGCTTTTGCTTTTGGTAGCAAGCCAGCAGTGGCCAGGTTTTCTTGAGGGTAACTCGAACAGTCATTCACAGATGTTTCAGGATAAAAAGAAAAAAGGCTGGCCACCGCAAATATATTGATTTGTTGCCGTAACCCTGCTCAACCACATTCTCCAAGGGACCAGCTCGGCATATCTGCATGCACAAACTTGGACAATTGCTACTTTGCAGGGTTTCTGAGCTCAGTCTGGGCACTGCACGAATGCAGTTACATGCCTTCTGGACCACAGCTGCCAAGCGGCCAGCCAGATCCAGGGCACAGGCAGCATGAGCATGCAACTGCCAGCACTCAGCCATGGCAACACCCCTTCAAAGAAACATAACTTTTGGTACTGTCAGATTTATAAGCAACAGAGAACAATTGTGATTACATATTGGATTGTGATTCTTTTTCTTAAGGCATATCAGGTTATGCAGTTTCTAGTTACACTTATAAAACCATCTTTTCAAGTGCTTGCTAAAATGAAAAAATTGTACAGGAAGGATTTTCTGTTCCTGCAACCTTACTTCATCCCCCTGGCGTTTCTATTTTATGAAACGATCTTTAATTATATTATCACAAACTGTATATATTATAAGATCAACGTTTCACTCCATGCACAAGAGGAATGGACAGTGCCACATATAGGCTCACTAAAAGGATCCTGGTTTTCCCCAAAGAAATCAAATTAAAGAATATTTTACCAGTAGTACAACTTCATTCCT